AAGAATATCCTGATATTTTTTAGTAATAGTAAAGTAATTAGTATATATCTAGAATATAAGAACTTTAATAATCTTAGAATACAGGTGGCTCCGGTGATAGTAATAGATATTTTAAAAATTATTAAAAAAATATTTAATATTAATATTATTAATTATAACAGTTAGAAAGTTCCTAGCTATATAGTAGAGAATAAGAAACTAATTATAATAGAATTTCTAATAAATAAAGATATTAAAGTATCCAGTAATTTCTAGATAACTATTAGTATAAGTATAATTTTTAATATAATTAATTTATTATTCCAGTCTTTGATGGCCTATATATTTTTAATATTAAGATAAATCTTAAGCTTTTTAAAAGTTATTATAGAAGATAAGAGCTTCTAGTACTTTAAGATATTATAAAAAATCTTATTCAGATCTGAGAATATACTAGAGATTATAAATAATATATTAATAGTAGGATTCTACTGGCAGTAAAAATAAAAGATTTTTTTAAAGATAATTTAGTATTTAAGATATTAATTAGTATTATTATCTAGCCAGGCACTCTTCTTGAATTTTTTTAATTTTAATATAAAGTCTAGAACTGTTATAATTATATAGATATAGTCTTTAGCTTAATAAATCTAATAATAATACTTATAAAGTTTCTGATATATATTCTCCAGATTTTAGAGAATTTTTTTCTTCCAGGATACTTGCTTCTGTATCAGCTAATTAATAAATTAATTAAAATAATTAAAGAGATTATTATAAATATTATAAATCTTATAAATTATAGGTTTACTGTTCTCTGATAAGCAGGAGATAAAAAAAAAAGAATATAAAATTTTAAATAAATATTCTAACTACTTTTATTTTATTAAAGTAAGATAAAGATAATTAATATTATCATGATTCTAGTACTGGATAAAGCTCTTAATAACTAGATATAATTTAATTATATAATAAAATATAAAATAGATTAAGTTTTATCAGATTTTATAATTAAAAAAAGATAATATACTGAAGTAGACTTTAGTTACTGAGTAAACTAAAACTTCTCCTGGTATTAGAGACTTATATTTATAAAATATATAATTTTCTGAATCTATAATTAAGAATTAGAGAAGTAGATAAGAGATAATAGATAAAATATAAAAATCATCTGTAAAAGCCTTATATAAAATACTCTAGAAGTTATCTGTAAAAATCTTATATATCTTATCTCATAGTCCATGGAAGCTTTTTTTAACTGGAGCTAGAATCAAGGCTCAGCTCTGGTTGAAAAGGGCTCCCGGAGTCAGAATCAATCAAGGCTCCAGTTGAAAAGGGCTCCCATGGACTGTAAGATAGAGTATATAAGACTTTTATAAATAATTTCTAGAAAATTCTGCAGAAGTCTTCTATAAATAATTCTTATTATATATCTTCTTAATTATCCAGGAGATACTAGAAGAGATCTCTAGTTTTTTATTATTATTCTTTTATATATATTTAACAGCTTTATTAGTAGCCTTAATTCAGAGTTTCTGAAGAAAGATATTAACAGAAAACTGAATAATATAAATTAAACAGGAAATATAATACTAGCTTTAAATAATTTTTATAAGATTAGAGTCTATTAAAATATTATAAAGATAAGTGTCCTGGCTGAGTTAAGCCTGGAATTCTGATATAATAATATTAAATATAATATTATTATTATTAATATTATTAATAGTTATATCTAACAGCTGGTGGGTAAGATAGTGCTTTTATAAGATTTTTAAAATAATCTTAATTAAATTCTTACTAGTATAGAATCTAGATACTGGTTAGAAGTCTAATAAAATCTTATAATAATCTATATTCTCTGTCAGAAAGTATCTAGTTAAAGTAAGAAATATTTTTTAATCTAGATTAATTTAATAGTTAATTATAATTAATATACACCCGCTGTCTAGAAACTTTAATAGTAGCTAGATATATATTTTCTCTGATAATTTTAAAAAATATTCTTTGATCTATATCTAATAGGGAAAAATAGATATTCAGAAAAATACTAAAGTAATAAGATTAATTATTTATTTAAATTAAATATATTTAATAATATAAAACAGCAGGTAGCAGATAATAAAAAAATATAATATTTAATTAAGAAAGTTTCTTTTATCATAAGTAGTAGAAGTCTAGAGATAATATAATAAATATTAATAATAATAATCTATTAAAGAGCCTACTCATAGAAATACTATTAGTAATTATATATTTATAATAATTCTTTCTCCAGTATCTGTTTAATAATTTGCTTGGAAATATATTAAAATATTTATTTCTTACAGTTTTTATAAAGATAATAGCTCATAGAACTAGTCCTAGAGTTATTAATTATTAGATATTATAAAATATACAAGTATATAATATAAGAAATATAAAAAATATTATTAGAAAATAATATACTTTCTTGAAAATAAGCTTATACTGTTATTATTTTTTCTTAATTAAAGTAAAAGAATAGCTTCTGGTCTTATATATAAGTCTAGCTAAAAGTAATTATCTTTTATTAATTATAAAAAATAAAAGTCTTTTCCGGGAAAGCTGGATATAAAATAATTTTCTGATATTTTATAATATATTTAATATTAAGATTTAGAAAAAAAAATAATATAAGTTAAAAAGCTACTCTCTATCCAGCTATTATTATAATTTATAAAGATCTGTAAGATAGAGAAAGAGAATTTAATAATATTTTTTAAAAATAGATTTAATAATTATAATTAATTTATAATAGGCTATTTATCTGTATAAAAAATTAAAGAGAATAAAGAATAAGAAAAACTTAATTAGTATAATATTATTTTGTTTTTAAATATATATTAATATAAATATAATCTATTATATTTACATGTATTAGGAATATTTAATAATAATAAGTTTTTATTAAAGATATTTTTTAATCTTATCTACAGGTAAGAGTTTGCAGCATCCAGTAACTATTATATAAAATATTTCTGATATAGTAGATAGTCAGGTTTAATCAAGTAATATAAGAAAAAGTTCTATAAAGATATTCTATAATTATTATAATAATATTATTAATAAAGTCTGTAAAAGCCTTTTACAGATCTTACTTAGAAAATATTATCTAAATCTTTATATTTATAATTAACAGATTATAAAAAATATAGATTTTTAGATAGACTAAGTAAGCAGAGTCACACGGAATATTATAATTAAATAATATAGATAATTTATAGTTTTTAGACTTATTATGAATACTTGGACAGTATTTTAAATATATAAAAAAAATAATAAGTTTATTTATTATTATATAAGATAATTTTCAGAGAGATTTACCAGCCTGGGGGAATAATTTAGAAGATATTAATAATTTATTAATAGTATATAATTAAAACAGAGCTGTAAATATATATATTTATTATTATTATATATTATAAAAGCAGTTTTTTTCTATAAACTTAATTATTACTACCACACGAGGTAATATCAGATTAAATAGATAAAGATAGGATAGAGTATATTATTTTTTTTCTTTTAATTATTTTTAGAATTAAGAAGATTAATCTTATATTGGTTATTAGCAAAGATATAAATAGTCAGGATAAATAGTTATTAATCTAAGTATACTTTACCTGTGTTAAGACCTAAAAAAGTATAGTAAGTAGATCTTAATACTAAGAATAATTAAGATAATTAATTATTCTATTTTTAACTGTTCCGCAGTTAGATATAAGGAAATATTATATCTAACTGTCCTTATATCTAACTGTTAACCTGACGGCAGGTATAAATTTTTCCATTAACCTACCCTACCCTGGCCATTAACCACTCTAGAATGCTCCCTTGTTTAGGAGGCCGTGTTGGAATATAATCTCAGTAGATTACTAATAGCCGAGGTCATGTGACCTGAAAACTCCGTAACCTCAACCGCTCCTCCGAGCGCGCCTAGATAGCGAGGAATCAAGCGCTTTTCAATGACTTCAATATTGACCTAAAACGTCGTCTCAACATTTTCTTTTTAATTATAAAATCTGATAAAACTTAATCTATCTTATACTTTATTATATAATTAAATTACATTCAGTTATTAAGAACTTTATCTAGTATTAGAATTATAATAATATTAATTATCTTTATTTTATTTTAATAGAATAAAAATAATTAAAATACCTGCTTAAGCTTTTATATCTTTTTTTTTATCTTCTGCCTGTCAGAGAATAGTGAGTCTATAATTTATAAGATTTATAATATTTATAATAACTTCTTTAATTATCTTAACCAGTCTATTAATTAGCTAGTACAGAAGTAAATATTTTAAAAGAAAGAAATTCTCCAGGATCTGGAGAATATATATTAAAAGCTTTATAAATACTATTATTAAATTTACTAAATTAAAGACTATATTTATATAATTATAATAATTCTAGATCTTATATCAAAATTTAAAAAACTCAAGAAGGGCGCCTGGCTAGATAATAATACTAATTAATATTTTAAATACTGAATTATTTTTAAAAAGATCTTCTATTTTTACTGCCAGCAGAATTCTATTATTAATATATTATTTATATTCTTTAATATACTCTTAGATCTGGATAAGATCTTTTATAATATTTTAAAGCACCAGAAGCTCTTACCTTCTGTAATAACTTTTAAAGAGCTTAAAATTTATTTAAATATTAAAAATATATAGATTATCAAAGACTGGAATAGTAAATTAATTGATCCCCTCGGAATTGGGTGGTCCCCGAGCTGACTCGCCCTGGAGCTTAGCGTCATTATGGAGGAGATCTTGCATCGTGATTTGAAATCGAGATCCCTAAGGCGCATCTTAGCTCCTTCATTAGTGTGCGCTTGACATCATATGCGTGGATTGCGCCACTATTTTGGGATTAGGGGTGTCTCAGAACAGAGGGCTGATGGCTGAGGGCTGAAAGGGCTGGGATTGTGTGGCGAATAAATGGCGCAAGCTCGTAGTGTTGAATAGATGGGTCAATTTGCTTCTGCTGTTGGGGCTAAGGTGTTAAAGCTGGAGGTTTCCTACCTTTCCGTTTCTCTTTCTCATTGTCTTGTTTTCTGTGATCTTTACATTCAATTGATACCTAGAAAATCCCTCATATTATATCATCATATCAACACACTTTCTTTGCTCAATAGACACCATGGACTCCTACGGTCAAGACAACTTTGGTGGTGGCCGTCGCGGTGGTGGTGACAGCTCCGGAGGCAACAACTCTGGCTTCGGCGGTAGTGACTCCCAGTTCGGCGGAGGTAACTCTGGATTCGGAGGCAATGATTCTAGCTTTGGCGGTGGTGGCCGCGGAGGTGACTCCGGCTTTGGAGGTAACGGCGGTGGTAACAGCTTCGGAGGCGACGACTCTGGGTTTGGTGGTGGAAACAGTCGCGACAACAACAACTTTGGCGGTAACGACTCTCAATTTGGTGGGGGTGGCTCTGGGTTTGGGGGAAATGACTCGGGTTTTGGCGGGGGTCGCGGTGGAGGTGACTCTGGCTTCGGAGGTAACGACTCCAGACATGGTGGAAACGGTTCTGGATTCGGTGGTAACGACTCTGGATTTGGTGGTAACAGCTCTGGCAACTCTGGCTTCGGCGGTAATGACTCTGGATTTGGCAGAGGAGGAGATAACCAGAACAACTTCGGGGGGTCTGGTGGTGGAAATGACTCCTTCGGTGGCTCCTCCGGTGGCTCCTCTGGCGGGCTTGGGAGCTTGGTGAACAAGGCAGAAGGTTTGTTTCCCAAAAAACGGCGACACATTTGACTGGAATTGAGGACGTTGGTTGACAATAATCTTCTCTTGTAGGATTCCTCGGCGGCCACGGTGGAAACAACAACCAGGGCGGCTCAAACAACGGAGGACAGGGTGGTAACTCTGGAGGCAACTTTGTCGACTCGATGGTTGACCAGAAGGTTGACCAGTACGTCCCTAGTGGAATGGATGGTGCTGTTAACCAGGGAATCAACCAGGAGGTTAACAAGTTTTTCTAAGGACCTGTCTCGCGAGTTATGGAATGTCAATGTCCCTGAGCATGATAACACTGTCTCAGTAGTTACTTCGATCTTATAATGAATACGTTGTGTCAATGTCATGGGGGACGCTAAGAACGTAAAGGGCCGTGCATGTTCCGTAGTTATGTACAATGAATTCTACAAGGGAAGGCTCCTAGAGTTTTTCAATACCTATGCTATAATATACAGGACTAACACCAAGCTCACAGGTTGTAGGTGTGAGAGTTGATGTTGATGGTCGACACAGTCCAAGTCTTGCCGTTATCCGACGTCGACAGGCCGGAGGAACTGGCCTCGTTGATGGACAGGGTGTCGCCGAAAGAGTTATCCTCGGCGTCAAGGATGATGGTGGTGTCAAGGTACTCTGTATTGCTGTGTTAATCTTATTCTTCTTTCCCGGAAGATGGTTTGGGAACTTACTGTGAGCTCCCGCAGTGCTCTGGCACGCATCGTCCTGGCACTCAACTGCCGTGCCCCAGCCCTGGGCTTGTCCCGAGCCTGGTAATTGTCAGTATACAAGTGGAGCGTCAGTTTAGAAGAGTGGAAAACGCACTGGTCGAAAGAGTAGAGACGACCTCGCCGTTGATCGAGACGGTCTGGTCGTACTTGCCCGTGCTGTCGTTGTACTTGTCTTTACGTAGACGGAGGTTTAGTGTCTATCTTCGACGGCAGGAGCGTGCATAGCTGATAGTATACTTACAGTGCATGGTCACCTTGTCGCCAGCAGAAGCCGGGACTTCCTTGCCACCCAATTGCGTGCCTATCACGAAGTTAGCTTGACCAGTACTGTTATGATAAAGCTGTATCATAACTCACCCTCAAGAGTACTAGCCCAGGTACACCACTGTCCAGAGCTGGCGCCACAGTTTCTGTAACAACCATCAGCAATCGTTCCGATAAGTCATGCTTTTGCTCGGCCAATTACTTACGAGTTAGGGTCGGAGAAAGAAACAGCGAGAGCCTGGATCAGATCACCACCGCTTGTACCCATACCGGGCCAGAGAGCAAGACGGTCCTTCTGAGGGCTAGGAGCCTCGGGCAGAACCAGCGTGGTGTTGGCCTCTCTAATCCACGACTGGGTAGGGCCTAGAGAGAAATACGGGCCAAATCCGACCGTGCTCTGGCCGTGAGCGGCACCGATGGCGGCCAGGAAGGCAAGAGCTTCAATTCCACGCATTCTGATGAGACGGGTAATCCGTGATAGCGTATGACAAGGACTTTGACAGACGAGATAGGAGCCGTTTATCTCATTTTCCAGACCGGATTTACGCTGGCTTTATAGGGAGCGGATTGGACGGCAAGGAAACATGGCCGTGTTGTTTCAACAAAGGGGATGACTCCACTCCACGTTCAGAAGTGCCAAATGAGAATGGTTAATTGTTCCGGGATCGCATGATGGTCTCGATCACTACTCTACAGACACTTTCGCGACAATTTCGGAGGAACTTCCGTTTCACGCCCTGCTCGGAGTCACCCCGTAGAGTAGTTTGCAGACCCTGAGGGTTCTAGCGTGGCCCTAGTGTCAATCCTCGACGCTCGGAGGCCACCAACGTTTCATGGCGGTCTCGAAATTGTCGATCTCTTCCCGGAGGGGGAGAGGGCAATATATCATGGTATATCATGGTATAGGGCAGTAAGCTGTTATTGCACTAATCGTAGGTAAATTAAGAATCGGCATTTACTATGTCTCTGAATCATTCCTCCTTTTAGCTTAGATTGAAGGTGTCTACGTGATGTTTGGAAAATAGATTGAGCGGCGATGCAGCGCTTACATTCTGTTTATCATCTCATTGCTAGACACTCTGGTCCCTCGTAACATCATTGCAAATGCTACAGATAAGATCAGATTCACAGAGATCCGTATGAGGGTGCCAGAGGAGAAGGATGGAGGAAAGTTGGAACCATTCAAGGCAAGTCCCGAACCGTTTCCCCACAAGTACATGCGTTCCTGAACAGACAATCTTCTAACGAACGTTTACATGATACAACAGTTTTTCCCGGGCGATGGTCTACATGAAAAGTGACAGTCTATTCGTTCATCTCATAAGTTCCAATCTGACTTAGCCTCAGGACAAGAAGGGTCCCCGCTACAGATATTGCCCCACTACCAAGCTTAGGGGTACATGAATCTTACAACTGCAGGTAGTGGCCATGGTACTTCGGTTCCTCATAAGCAAGTGGACTGATAGGTTCATCGGACCGCTCCGGGAATCCGTCGAAGGATATGGCGTAAGTCGCAATAGAGTGGGCAACGAGCTGTTTTGAATCACACTAATCAGCAAAGGAATGATCCGCATAAGGGTAACTACTGTAGTGATCCTACCTTGGTGTTCCATTCCCACGCGGTCAGGTTCACATTGGCCACCGTGTCGCAGAGCTGGTGGTAGCACGGGTCATACCATTCTCCAGCAACGCCGCCAAACATTTCCGCTTCTTCGGCCGTCTTGATTCCCTCAGCTCCCGTGGCAATCCCACCACCGGGAATACCATGCCGGATGAAGGCATCATAGTCGCTGCGTCCATCGAAGGGAATGTACGTGTAGTTGAACCCATGAGCATCGTAAAACTCAGTGTAGAGATCACGAAGCTCCTCGGATCCCTCGGGGTTCACAGCGTTAGTGGCATTGTACACTTGGTACGCAAAGTTGGGCGATCCGAGCATGTCGTAGTCCATGAACAAGCGGATCTTGCGGTTCTCTTCCGGGGTGAGAACGGACACATAGTAGTCAGATCCGAGAAGGCCCTCCTCCTCGGCGGCCCACCAAGCAAATCGCACACAGTTGTTGACACGGAATTGGGTGAGCAATGTGGCAAGTTCCAAAAGAGTCAGAGTACCAGAGCCATCATCATTGATACCCGGGCCCTCGGCCACACTGTCACTGTGGCCACCCAGCATTACACAGTTGTCAGGGTCACCATCCGTGGTCTGCGCGATGATGTTGGTGGTGTGGATGGTCTCGACAATCGCATCCATGTAGGCGATAGCGTCGACCTTCTCGCCTTTCTTCAGCTTCTCCAGGACCGGGGCAGCATCCGCGTCGGAGATACCAAAGGTAGCAACATGATCGGGTGTTGGGTTTCCTAGAGTTCCGCTCAGGTCACCCCGCTCGTTGTTGTAGATGACAGCAGCGACGGCTCCCGCTTTACCAGCCAATTGAGACTTTGTCCCAAACGGACAGCTTCCCCGACTAATAAATGCAACGGCGCCTTCCAAGTTGGAAGGGTAGTCCGAGGCCTCACACCCGAGGTTAGATACAGCAACCAGGGGGCCATATACCGGCTCCTTATTCTTCGTTGGGGGGGTGAGACCCATTGGTGTAGCCGACTTAGGAACATCGTGACCAAGGACAAGGCGAGACTCGAAGACATTACCGCTCACGGCAGGGAAGGACTGATTGACGACAGTATAATAATCACCGAGGTCGGTAAGGGCGGAGTATATGTAGTCGAGCGTGCCAAGATGACCTAGGTAAGCGGACTTGTCAACCAATTGTCTTTATTCTAGGAATATTAGGAGAGGTGTTTAGGACCTTTGCTGCCAATGACGCGAGTGGGATGGTTATACTCGTCTTCTCCCAGCTCCGCGATCTTGTATAGCTGCCGGGCTCTGTCCAACAGGTTCTCCGCCTTGACCTGCTCCTGAAGCAGCGGAGAGCTAACTAGTGGTTTGTCACCTGCATTTGTCGTCGGCCGCTGTGAATTGGACTCTTGGACTAAGGGTAACTGTAGAGCACCGACCTGGCCCAGAAGCACTGGGACCAGATGTAGCGCCGCGGAGTCGATACGCATGGAGGGCGAAAAGAGACACTATTTGAATGATGATATCTATCAGGAATGATACAAGACAGAGAACTCGTAAGATAAGAGAATAGAGCCCGTCGAATGGAGGCTAGGGAGGAGGCGAGACAGGGAGAAGATCAAACAACAACAGCTTGTGGAGGAGGAATAAATACGGGGAGCTGGGAAGGGGAGCTTCCTGCCAGGAACCGGTCAGATGATAAGCGATAAGATAGACCCGTGACACCCAGCTGACCTGCCTCATCGGGAAAGGCGTCATGATCGGCCCGATTGGGGTTAGTGCAGCCTCACTTTCCATCTTCTCGGCAACACCTGGAGTCACCACCATTTCGGCACAAGCCATCCTGCTTCTGCATGATGAACTGATTTTCTTTCTTCGTACCACTGGCAATCGGTTGGCAAATCTCGTGGAGTCAATCGGAGTCGTTCCGTGGAATCCAACGGCAAGCACGCCCTTCCTCTCCCGACCCGAGCGGGTCCTTTGATCAGCGTCACTGGGGAGCTTTGGTTCCCCATGGCACTCATCAAGACCCTGAATGTCTGTTCTGACAATGTAGCTCAACGGATACAATCTTACGGTTCGCTATCGCCCTCGGTCTTGCTAAACAATGAGCTTCTAGATCGGATTAGAGGCCAGACCCGTCCGCATGCCCCAGTCGATACTTCAGGTGATCTAGCCTGGTGATTCTCATTCCGAAACCATCAAGCTATTGCTAGAGACGATGTCCGCGCAAGAACCTGATACTTTTTCGCAAGTGATAGTTGCTGTGATACACGACTAGGCGGGCCCTTCCCAGCGCAACAAGCACTCCCATAGCTAGAGGGAGAACAGAATCGCTGTGCTACGTCTGACTGGAGCCACGGCTATCAGTCGCCTGTATCCGAATATTAGTATTCGATACAGTTATCGGGAAGTTGAACGGCGCCAGTTCCATGGAATCTCCCAACGGACAATTACCACCCATTTTCTTGCGCCGAGTTACGTCACTACGGCCTCATTTAGAACTGACAAAGGTTGGTCAAAGTAGTAGCAGCCCCGTTCTAGATCTTATCCCGTTGCCTCTTCTTTCGGACAGGCTTTTTGCTGTCAATCGGAACTAAATCTCGCGATCACCCGCATGTATCTACTGCTACACGGTCAAAGGGATCATGATGTCATTCAGGTCAGCATAGGCTGAGATTTGAATTTGTTCTTTCTTCAAAGCAATCTTACCAAAACCCTCTTCTTGCTTTACAGGGCATTGGCTCTGGATTGCTCTGCGAAATGCCAAATCATGAAGCCCATGACACTGCAGTACCAACATCGCCAATCTGCATCGCAATATGGAACTTTTCCTCCCAATGGTTTCTGATACCACAAGGTACTGGTGTAATAGCCATTATTCTTCATCAACTGGACTATCAATTCCATGGTCTGCGTATTATCTCTGTGATAGTTTGGGTGTATACAATCGTACTCCTGGCACTATGCGTATCCGTCTACCTTGCGCGAATCTTCATGTATCCACGGCACGTCGCACGAGCACTCCGGTCAAGCATGGTGGAGGTATCATGTCTCACTAGTGTCTCTATAACGCTCACAACAATCATTCAAATGATCGCCTTGGCCGTTGCCCAGCAATGGGGTGCAGGATGGCCAATGGCCTCATACGTCCTGTGGTGGATCAACACGGCTATGGCTCTAACTGCTGTTATGGGAATACCGTACGTCTTCGTGAAGCTACAAGCTCCCGGAATCAAGGCTGTCGTACCTTCCGTTCTACTTCCATTGATATGTGCGCTAACCTCCGCCGCGGGCGGAGGTGTCGTATGTGAGTATAGTGGAATTGGCGCTCGGCTGCAAGTCCCTACCATCATTGTAGCATACCTTGAAGTCGGTGTCGGTATTCCGTTGGCAATGTCCTTTGCTGATGTCTTCATTGCGCGTCTCTTCGAGCGCGAATTTATGCCCATGGAACAGGTCTATCAAGATATGATTCTCTGTGGCCCGTTTGGACAGGGCAGCTTTGCGCTGCTGATTCTCGGGCAGGTCGTACGGTCTGGGGCATTTGCAGAATACGACCGGGGGTCATTCTTAACCGCTGAAGCAGCGACCCCAATTAGCTATGCCAGCCAGTTGGCTGGTCTGTTGTCTTGGGGCTACGGAACCTTCTGGTGGGGCTACGCCATCATAAGCATTCTGCATACGGCTATCAAACAACCAGGGGGTTGGCGGAGGATACAATATTCACTTTCAGCTTGGTCTCTGGTATTTCCGTGGGTGGGTGTACATTTACCTTTGAGATTTATCATTATCTTACAACATGTTGCAGGGTGTCTACACCAATGCCGCCGTCCAGCTTGGCAAAGTCATGGACTCGCCTGCATTCAAGGTGTGGTCGACCGCTTTGACCCTCATGCTCCTCATCATATGGATTGTGAATCACATCTTTACCATTAAGGGCTTAATTACAGGGCAAATCTTGTCACTCCAGCACGGATGGCGGGCCGGCCACTATCAAGCCGGAGAAGTCGATAAGCAGGTCTAACATTAGCCAAATACTACGACTACATGCGTGGAAACCCTCGACGGTATTTATACGGTGTTATATAAGTTATTCATCATAAAGGGGATTACATGTTCATAGTAAGCATTATTATATAACCGATAAATCACCACTCTGCCCATACGGCCTCAATTCAAACTAAATTCAATCAAACTTATCATTTGCAGCCTCAAACGCATCAGCCTCATCATGACCAGAGACGCCTCTACTCATCCTCGCACCATCCGTGAAGGCCTACTGGTCAGTGACTGGCTGACCGTACTCATCGACGGTGGTCTCGAAGAATTCCTCCGGACCCCAATTGGAGGTTGGATCGGCTGCCAGGGATGCCGCAGTGGCTGACTCCGATGAGTATTGCTGCCTCTGAGCGGCTCTTTGATCCTGGGTGGTGTTGCGAAGACGACGGCTCTGGTCTTCGTTTTGAGGGTATCGGAATGCGGTATCTGTTTTGGTGTGCGGCATTTTGATGGTTGTTGCTGTAGATGTTAGATATGCATAGATTGAGGAAGTGTTCGGACTCACTTTCACTTCGAAAGTCCTATGTAATTGCGATAGATTACTCAGATCATCTTTTCATGATTGTATATGTCTACTCAAGCACAGCGACCAATCTCGCCGTCTATATACTGTCCCCTTACCACTAACTGCCAGTGCCCGTAAATGACGTTCAAGTTCCCAAGAAGGCCAGCAACCTCATGACGCATCTCTCATCGCCACCATCACCATTCCCTCAAAAACAAAATCATGAAATCTTCTCCTGCCCCTGGTTATCAATAACTGTGTCTTCAAGATGTGGATAAAGTGGGTCACAAACTGCCCGCAGTATGGCTGTCTCGACCCAAGTAAGCTCAAGCTTCGCTAAAATAGCATTATCCCGCAGATATTGGGTTTGAGGTGAAGTCGAAGTTCCATCATAACTGCCTGAGCTGCGTAAAGGAGGTGACATCACCGTGAAATATGGAACGTTCTATGTGAAGTGGAAGAATGTCATAGATCAGGATCTGAGATGCAATCCATTACCTTCGGCTGTAGTGTGTTTTCTGCCACCGCCTTTTTATACAGATTCCCAGCTCCTTTTTCTGGAACTGTACGTTTCCAAAATCCGCAAAATCCGAGGATTTTCGCTCGAGGTTCGCTAGGTTCTGCCGCTTCTGGCGGTCAGAGAAGCGGTATACTCACCGCCCAACGTGGTGCGGATTCTGCCATCGATTGCGTATTAACGCTGCACCTCGTCGGGTTTTTGGGATTTGTCTTGAGTATGTGTTTGCTTATATTCTTTGTTTCGGAAGAGTTCGACTGGTTTGTGACGAAATTGAGCGTCTAGATGTTATTTGTCATGGCGAGGCGAGGTTGATCTAGGTTTGTGATGCCTTGCACTCAGACCATTATGCCAGTCCTACCCGGCTGTGTTACTTTTACTGCTTGATTGACTATGAGAGATATCTGTTTCTGTTTGATGCTCTTTGAGGTGAAGGTCGCGAATCTATCTTGGCTGGCTATCGAGGAAGTACACTGGTATCTTCTTACGCTGGATTAAGGCCACTAAAATTTGGTGCTTCATTAACCGGCATCATGTATATTCGAGAAGGACGAGGTACTGGTCCGGAAGCTAAGATATACAGGATATTTGATTATACAATCAGATTAAAAGGATATGGCAAATTCTTGGCTGCATAAAGAAAACAGAAGAGCCAAAAGAAGTCATAGCAGGCCGTTAGATCATATCATCATATCATATCATTTCAGCAGGCAAACACATGCTCGAGTACCATCTCACTTGCTGCCAAATCCTGGGATCGCGTTCCCCCAACTCTTGGCTCCACTAGCAACAGAGGACCCAGCCGACTGTATTCCAGTGGCCAGTCCCTGGCCAGCCTTCTTGGAGTTATCGACAATGGGATCGGTTGCTCCTCCAAGAGGGCCTCCATAAGAGCCATTTTCATCTTTTCCTCCACGCTCGGCGCGATTGAACCCCTCCTTTGAAACCATGTTACCAACTGGAGCCAGCAGACCGTTTTCGCCCAACTGGTTTCCAACGAGATTATTTACGTCGTCTTGGATCTGGTCGACTTGCTTAACGCCGGTGACCTTGGTCTTGGAGAGGTTGTCTGATTGCAATAGTTAGCATACGCATGAAGGGCAGACAATAGAAATGTTTCTAGCGTACCCTTGGTCACGTAGGAAGCCTTGTTATCACCTTTGCCAAACCACTTAAGATATTGATCCTCCAGCCAAGGCATCCACTTCTCGTATTGCTCGTTGTAGGCTTCTTTCACCCACTCCGTGAATGACTGCTTATCGCGTTGCTCGGCGGGAAGGTTGTCATACAGCTTGCGCTGTTCTTCTTCGGTGTGGTTGGGCGTCGTACCCATGGTTTGCTTGATAGAATCCATTTTGATCGCTTGGAAGGTAATGTTCAATTCAGGATGAACGAGGTATGTTCCAGAGAAGTCACGGTTGATAAAGAATGGTTCCGAACATGGTGTTCCACGATGCTCCGCTCAAAGTATATATGTGGTGAGGTGGTCTGGATGAGGGACGGCATGACGTATGTGGGTTTGCCAAGCGCAAATGCCTCGCTGTGTCTATACACGGTAGAATATCAGGTTCTGGCTTATAGATTGCAGACGTGGTTCCTCTATCGGTGGCTGTGATCACGTGACAGATGGCGAGGGACGCGTCGAGGGAAGCTGGGATGACGTCATGGTAGATTTGCGTTTGCCGTCCACTCAGTGTGCACAAGTACGTCACAGCTGAGATAAGTAGGAATGTGTCACCTGAGTTATTCAGTTAATGCGAATTTCTAATTTTCCACCAATCGGTTATTATGAAGGCCCTATGAGACTCAATTTGGTTAGATGAGGAAATAGTATGTGACACCCTGGTTTGACAGCTGCATCAAGATCTCGGGATCATCAAAATTGATGATCAGGGGTCTGTCGCGGTCCGCCATCCACCTCGTACTGAAGGCGACTATCTGTCCATTATTGGTACGAGTAGTACTACTTAGTAGTAGTATGCTTATGTTCTCCAAAATAGACACCAGATCGACAAGCGCCTGTAGTACCCACATGATGAATGACTATAGACGTCAAAATGTAGCAAATGAAGATTAGCAGACAGTCCATAATGACATGGACGACTAGGTACTGTACTTACACAAGTACTATATTGGGAAGGACCGATTTACTCGATTGGTGTAAGAACACGTGGAATGGACCTGAGGTGAACACGTGGAGACTTCAGCAGCCTCACATCATCTACACTGAATCATAACTTTCAATCATTACTTCGCCCCAGCATACTTGATTCACCATGGATGACATTCCATTATGCTTCCATACGATCATTCACTGTTCTCATATAAAATCGCTAACTCATCTAAACAAATACAGTTCATCACGCCATCTCATCATGAGTCGACACAACCCCCTTCTCCTGGTCAACCATGTCCTTGTGCTTGTGTCGCTCAATTTCTTCGCCGAAGCGGTCATGGATCTGGTGTGTTTTCCAGGGCTTCATATCGGTCTCAAACATCAAGTCAATGTCTTCAAGCGATCGTCGAGCAGTCTCTGGATAGAAAAAGAACACATGGAACGTCATCACAGTGCAGAAGACACCGAAGATGATATAGGTCTTCCACTGAATGTTGGTGAAAGCAGGTGCCACAAAGTACGCCAATGCAAAGTTGAAGATCCAGTTACCGGCAGCCGAGAGACCGACACCCTTTGCACGGTACTTGAGAGGGAAGACTTCAGAAGCGTAGATCCACGCTACGGGAGCCTATATCAGGTCACATTAGCTGAGGCCGACTTTGGAACGTCTCGAGAAATTGGCAAGCTACGTACCCAGGTGAAACCATAAACAGCAACGAAGATGTATGAGCAAGCAATGACACCTTTGCCGGGTGGTCCTGTAATTGACCACTTCAGATTCGAATTACCATCGACAGAGTCAACATGATGACCACGTGAGGCCATAAGACCAGCAATAGCGAAGTGGCAGGCCATGCACAGGACGGATCCAGTGAGAAGCAAAAGTCGTCGACCGATCCGATCAACAAATGGCAGGATGGAGCCTGTTGTGACCAAGAAGATTACGTACTGAATGGCTGAAGAATACAGAGTCGTGTTTCCAGACTATACAAAACTGTCAGTTCGGTTTCAAGAGCATCTGCCTGAAGTACAAGGCAGACTTACCATGCCAGCCATGTTGAAGATATACACGACATAATACATCGCAACATTGCCCCCGAGCAACTGCTGCCAGACCTGAGCACTGACACCGCAAACGGTACGTTTCCAAATCTTTGGTCCGAACAGGGAAAGGAATGAAACATCCTTAGCCTCCTGGGCGATGCGTGCTGCTTCCTGCACTTCTTCGTATTCCACTTGGACCACGGGATCGTTGCGGTCGCCCTTGGCATGCAGTAGAGCCAAAGTATCCAAAGCCTCCTCCCATCGCTCTTTACTTGCCAGCCAACGAGGCGATTCAGGAAAAAAGGGCAATGCGGCAAGCAGGATGAGGGCTGGGATACCCTGGACACCCCACGAAACTCGGAAAGAAGCCGCTCCAGCCAGACCTTTGCCACATCCGTATGAGATCAAATACATGATGAGCATACCCCATTCAATGGCCCACTGCTGGATACCGACGATACGGCCACGGATACGAGCGGGTGCTAGTTCAGCGAGATAAACGCAGACCTGTGAGGATGTAATACCGACTAGAGCATCGTTTAGTATATCTTGATCCCAGAAAGATAGCTGAAAACCGTACCGGACAAACCGCTGATCACTCTCCCGGCAACCAAGTGAGCGACGTTTTGGGCACTACACTGAACGGCAGCACCGATGACCCAAATGCAACACGCCAGCATGAGGGAGTAGCGACGACCAATTCGGTCTGATATGAAGCCGGCAGCGAGAGCACCAGCAAAGGAGCCAGCAGACATGGAAGCGGTGATCTAGGAAAGATTCGATTATCATCAGTCATTTGTGTCCATTTTGACGTTTTGAAGGGCTTGGTGACTTACACCACCCTGCAAGTCGGAATCAGGAGAGTTGAAGTATTCCAGATACTGATCCGTGCCAATCCAGGCACTCATGGAACTGACATCGAAGCCGAACAAGGCACCGCCGATGGTGCCGAAGCCAGCCAGCACTGCATATCTCCGTTAGCTTGAGCAGGACGGTCACTGTTAGGAGTCCAGTCATACCGTAAATATTCGAAATGGTATACATGATGTCCAACGGTCTCACCGAGCTGTTCACGACGAGTGGACTGCAACCCGGCGAGAATGCGGAGAAGCCACCCGGGACCCGGGCCACATTTATAGAGAGGACACTTAGGAAGTAGCTGCCGAAGCTGCATCGCGCCGGTACGGCTTCAACGGCATGGCGTCACGGACGGACTCGCGGTGCAGTGGGTGGTGCGAGACACGCATGGCCGATAAACCCCGAAAAGAGGAAGGATCGCCGGGGCCTATAATGCGGAGGTCCGGGGATTCAGGATGGAGCACGAATCAGAGGATCCGGGGACGGATGGGGGTCTGCCTCCCGAGTGGAGGGCCTCACGGCCCCGGATCCAGTCGGTTGATTCTGCGACGGAGATTTTCCTTCTTTGTGCCTGCCGTCCGGCTGAATGCCATTTTAACCGAGTTCGGGTGAATTGACCTTGCCTGGGAACCCAAGGGCTCATTTCT